CAATGGACAGCTTCCAAACGCGTTCATCAACCTGTTAATTAATCTATCACAGATTTAATTGGGAGAAGAAACCATCGAACATACGCTCAATTCAAATTAAAAAACGCATTAACCGTGTTCAATCTTCATTTACAATATATTTTTTTTAAATGTATTAATGATATTTACAACTGTATTAGTGAAACAAATATTTTTGTCTAAAAAAAAATGAATTTGCGCCTGTCAAATTATTATTAACAATAAGTAAATGTGCTGGAGATACAGGAAATACTAATATGACAGTCATGTAGAAAGAAAGTATTCCGCAGTATCTCTTCCTTAACTTTTTCCAATTACTTAGGTTGTTTAAGGAAGGAGATCTCTCATCCTACGCCATTTTAGTCTCCTCCTCATGTTCTGAAATATATCAGCTGTGGCCATGTCTCTCATTAGTGTGTTATTATTTCCGTTTAAATTATTGTAAAATCGTTGATAAAGGGTCGTTATATATTGGTCAACTGTTGGAAGGTGGAGGTTAGTATGTAGAGTTTTTTTGTCATGTAGCAAGGTGTTTTTGTTACGAGTCGCTATAATTTTGATTAGAAAATTTGAAGTTTTTGTAGGTGGATCTTTTTAGCGATACCTTATATTTGTGATGATTACGTCCATAAGGGTTTAGGTAAGAATATATATGTATTGAATTTCTGTCTCAGTTTCAGTTTTGAAGATTTAGAAAAAAGAGAGTAAAGTAATTTGAGTTTTACTTGCTATGTGTCTTACGTTTCATTTTTACATGCGGGCTCCATGCCATCCTTCAGTTGTAGGTGAGTCCAAGATAAAGTATCTTGTCGGTGTGGAATTTGATTGTTGTAAATATGAACTGGATGGCAGATGTATTATCTAAGAGTAAATGTTATATGTTTGGATTTTTCATGATTAAGTCAAATTTTCCATAGTGTGAACCAATCTTGTAATTTTTTTTTTTTTTATTTCTTTATGACATTTACAACTTTATTACATAAATACATCAAGTAAATTTGGACATAATTGATATAATGACATGAATACACTTGCTGAGTAACTACCCAATGGTAGCACTCTAATGATATGACTACATTAGGAGATCACGGGGCCATCTTCTTTTCAGACGCCTCGGAGGGTTATCAGGAATTGAAGAGGAAGCAAGGTTAGAAACGAGAGGATTGGGCCAGATCTGAAACATAAGGAACATTAAGATCTTCATGGATAATTTTATTAGTGACAAAGTAAGGAGCATTGAGGATTTTACGAAGGATTTTGGATTGTAAGGATTGGATGCGAGAGGAATTCGATGGTTTAGTGGAGCCCCATAACTCAACTCCGTAAGTCCAGATAGGTCTTATTATAGTCAAGTATATAAGTCTTTTGTAATTAATGGGAAGTTTAGAGCGTTTGTCTAGTAAATGCTGAAGTAATCGGAAACGTCGAGCGGTTTCTTGTCGTTTCAGTCTAGTATGTTGAATCTTGTAATTTAAGTAAGTGATGTTGAGTAAATGAGGCCTGTAAAGGGTTTTGATGTTTAGTGAGAATTGTTGTATCGTCTGCATAAGTAGCTGTCTAGATCTCATCGTTAAAAGGTATTTCGTAAGTTTATACAATGTAAAGTAGAGGGGCTAGTATGAAACATTGAGGAATTACTGGCAAGATTGGACGGACTGAAGACATTTCCTACCCCTCCTGAACTGAAAAATATCTGTCGAAGAGAAATGATTGATAGTTAAAGGATAAGATAGTACGGGTGTGACAGTATAGTCTTAAGTTTAAAGAGAACTTAACCCAAACTTAAAGAGAACCCTTGTGCCAGACTCTATCAAACGCCTAACCTCTATCAAAGCAACATCCAGAAACTCTCCAGTTGCATATAGTTTTTGTTCTAAAGCTACATCAATGTATTCTGTAACTCTGTGTAATTGGTGTGTCGTATAAATGATAAATAAATTAATATATACGGAAGAGAAAAGTTTTCATATATTACACCTACACATTGTATTTAATATTTTGTGAGTAAATATAACATTTAATAGTATAATATAACATAATGAGTTGTTTCAGCATAAAAATAGATAACCTTTATTGAACCGTTAGGATATGATATATGAAGGAATATAAAGCGGGTAATGGCTTCTGGTATAAGGCGCCAACGTTTTCAATGATTTACCGCCCTTCACTTCCTAGGCAACTTACACATAACCTCGAAATTTATAACGATTCACTGTACAGTTTAAGGCGTTCTAATAAATCTCTTTTTCATTAGAACTTTTCTTATACTCGTTAATGCAGTCTGGCCTCCTTAAAAATCTAAATTATTCTAGAATTGCTTTAGTGGAAAATCTATTCACTGCTTCATCTACGAATTGAATATCTGCATTCGTTGTCATAACCGAGTGGGGCTCGGAGCCTGCTCGGGCAAGATAAGGCAAATCGGTTCGAGAATGTAAGCCTGCATTTCCACAATTGTTCGAGTACTCCTAATAGCATCAAATAGGAGATACACGTATTAAAATTTCATAATTTTATCTCAAATGAATTATTGGTCATCTACACTTTCATGTAGTTTCTTATGTGTGATTTAGATTTTTTCAAAGTTTATAATATTTCATACATTTAACGTAAATAAATGCTATAAGTTATAAAAATGGGTGATAAATAGTCAGGACGCAATCATTTTTAAGATTTTTATTGGTGCCGACTTGTTAACCCAACTATGTGTTCGAGTACTTGAGAACACCTTCAGTGCTCGAAATAAGCCCTGATGATGACCCATATGGTTGGGTTGAAACGTCGGCACCAATAAAAACCTTAAAAATGACTACGACCTGACTATTTATCACCTATTATATGTAGAACGGGTGACTAACTTTCTTCAATAAAATATAAAGATGAATATACAGGTTATCTCGTAGGTAAAGGGAAATATCCATGAGACTGATAGCAGACTTCAAGATCTACTAAAAAGTTTTTTATTGAATAAGAAGTAATAGATAAAGGAATATTTAATTTAAGTTCTTAATCCGACATGTTGAGATAGAGAAACCTTAGGTCTACCTGGCTTAGTCTTCTTGCTTTCGCGGAAGACTTAATTTTATTCGCAAACAACTGTAGGAACCTCCAACATAATCATTCTACAGGAAGAATTAGAAACTGTCAATATAACTATAAATGCTTCCTTAATTTTTCCCCACTTTGACTATTGCTGTACGGTATAGGGGGGCGTCTCTGGGGATCTCGAGGCAAACTAAAAGCTTGAAAAATTGCTTTGTACGATTCATCTTCGGGATCCCAAGGACGCCTGTTTCCCGTTTTTATGTAGAGTTGAAGAAGTGACTTTACCCTTCCTACCGTCGTAAGTATTTTTTAGCATCCTTCCGCTTTCAATTCATCCAACCCCACCGACCTTTATACATCTCCGAGCTCCTCTAATTCAAATCCTCTGTTCACTCCCGCAATACTCGTTCCACGTCTTCTGATTTATAAATAAGGCTCCACCGAATCGCTGCTTTCGACAGATCATTCATTATCCGCTCCTCATCCTTATGGAACTCCATCACTTCCCACATCCGTCAATCTAATACCCTTCCTACCTTTAAATCCCGCCTGTTCAATCATTTCTTATCCATCCAGTCCCAATAAAATCATAAAATTTTAAATAGATACAACTGAAAATATGTATATAAATTATTAGATTGTTCTTCATTATTTTTACTTTATTTAAACAATTTTTTTATTATTAACTTATTTAAGATAGAAAGTAACATAATTTTTAATATGACTATTTTATTACTCCACATTTCTTCTTATGTATCTCTGAGGCTCCTTAGCCCACATCACTGTCCTTATGTATTATTCTAAAGGGACTTGTCCCAGAATAAATAAAGTGTTATTATTTAAAAAAAACAATAAAGTATGATTATTAAATGCAGCAAAAACAAATACTATGGAAACATGAAGGAAAAGCGATTATGAGGATCGATTGGTAATACTGAACCGTACAAGATAAGAGCAAGTAGGAAATTTTAAATACCTTGGTGGTCACCTTAACGAATATGGATGTATAGGAGGTGAGATAAATGAAAGAACAACATCTGCCGGCAGATACCTACAACGAAAGTAATTTACATAAACACTTTCTCACCGATTCTCACCTACTTAAGTGAATCTTGGATTCCCTCCAAAAACCATGAATCAAGTTTAAACTATGGCTTCAAACTTGCGATAATTGAGAAGAATGGAGAGAAAGACAAGAAGAGACCGAGACCGAAACAAGATATGTGGTTAAACCTGGAAATAAAGCCAGCTGAGGGTATTTTTGAGAAACACAAGCTGATATGGTCTGGTCATTATTAACTCCATATCAAATAAGTTTAGGTTTACTACCGAATAGTTGATATTCATCTCCAGTTGTGTAAAACTGTTTATATATAAAATGTTATTTTATATCCTGCTCCCTAAAAGTGCACGATTTTTTAACAAAAATAACTTTCATGAATTTAACACGATAAATTCATAAATTATAGCACAGCTTTTATTTCTTGTTTTTCTATGACCTTGGATGTATAATAATAAACACTCCAAAAAAAAAAGTTATAGACAATGATTTTTTATATAGAGTGATTATAAAACTTTATTTTTCCTTGATCTCTATTATAGGAGTCGATACATATTTATGGATGACAAATGTTGCTGATCCCTGAGTATCATTTACGTTTTCATAAAAATATTGATTGGATCCAAAACTTTGCTCGGTTTTCGTTAATACTGTGAATTGTTTTCAAATATCTCCAGTTCTCTTTGCTTTCTCTGGAAAAAATGATACTTATCGTAAAGGTCAAAGTCCACTCTTCGAAACTTTTGTGTTTGGTTTCATTGACATTAGTTTTTTGTCCTACAGCGTAATGCATATGTCAAATGATAAAGGACATTTTAGAAATATTTTCCTTTTTTATTGAGAAAAAGGCAAGCGAACTTCGGAGGCCCACCAACAGATGTGTAAGCTATACGTGGACGATGCCTCAACAGAACGTACTGTTCAAAAATATTTTGCCATGTTTCGTTCTGGGTATGTAATCCTCGAAGATACACAACGTTGTGGTCGGCCAACCGAGATTGTTTCAAGTGATATCAAGGTTCCAATAGAACAAGATCGGTCGCCACAGGTACTCGAAATTCCGGAGGCACTGAAAATAGGTTTTGGAACCGTTCAATGATATTTAAAACCGCTTGGCCGAATATCAATCAGCAACTCTCTTTAGAAACGGCACAAAGGGATCGATTTTTTAAACGAATTGAGATGGGTGACGAAAAGTGGATTATCTATGACAATGTAGTGAATGCATAGGAGATCGTGGAAAACTGCTGACAAACCACCTGACGCCACCCTCGAAAACCGGCCTACATACGAAATAAATTTTGCTCTCTATGTCTTGAGACTTTCACGGCTTGCTATTTTACGAGCTGGTTCCTCAAGGATAAATGGTTGATTCAAACTATCTACTGAACCCAGCTAACGAAATTGGACCAATCATTGCGACAGAAACGCAAAGAACTAGTCAGTCGCAAATGAAGTGATATATGAAATTGTTAATTTCAGTAATTAACAATTCTTTCAGAGAAAATTAAGAGCCGTTAGTCGTCTCAGAGTAGCAAGTAAAGACTTTGTGAAGATATACTTAAAATATGCTACTTTGACTATTAAATCTAGTGAAGTATGTGGTGCATGCAACTGCCTTGTAACTGACCCGGTAACTCATTTTTTATTCAATGTATCAACTCCATCGAACCAAGAAATAAGTACGTGCATACATTTATCACTGAATCCAAAGATGATGTTAGTGTGGAGGAGATACTCAAAATGTACACTGTAAAAAAATAAATCAACTGTATTACTTTATACAGGGCTGTTAATTGAACTGTTAAGTGGTATAGTTAACCATATAAACATATATTAATGCTTATTTATATTGCTTATTTATATATCTCTGAAATATTTTTTTAAAAAAAAGGTTTTACTACTTGTTTATGTATATCTATTGCTACGTATCGAATGGTTTTATATAGATTTTTTATATATATGGGATGCCACTGGATGATTATTGATGATAATTGCCCAGATTTAATTTATAAAATATTAACAAAACAAATTATGTCATTTGACATATTGGTCCTTGATTAATTTATTGGATTACTTCTCACAAAGGCTTGTGTGTTTATCTGTTCTCTAATTACCAAACATTACCTGTGCTTATAATGAAAGAAATAGGTGGCATGATTAAAATAACTTTTATGTACAAATTATATTTATTTACAAGTGATATGAGAAAGAATTTGTATATACATTCTATTTACAACATTTAATGAACCAAACAATTGGTTGTGATGGCATGATTCAGATGGATGGAATTTAAAATTACATTGCCATTAAATATTTAAACATCTTTACAGGAATTATTGGGAATTACTTATCTACTATGTTATTTGAAGTGGTGTATGGCATGGTGCATCTGCGAAGTCATGGTAATGTTTCAGTCCTCCAGCTAGAAGAAAACATCAGGGACCTTCTCAGTGCCGGGCAGCTACATCAGGCCTCTCTTCTATCAGCCTCTCCTCATCCAGCTGTCCTCAGCTGAGTCCCAAGAAGAAGTGTCTTAGTCCAAGTTCTATATTTTCCACCTTTCTTCATCCCCTCTCTTTTGGTAGTCTTATTACCATATTTTGGGTGGGGCAAGAATTGTTCACATTGGTTCAATTTTTGTAGCAGAAGGGATGACCACATCTCCAGTGATATGTTGAACACACCCCTTTTAGCAGGTACACGACCGTTTCTTCCTATGCTTAAGAGTTAAAAGCTTTTTGATCCTCTTTAAACGGTCCTTTGGTGTTTTTGGCCGACATGTGTCGTAAAGTACTTCTATTGCTAGTGGGTGTGCTAAGAATATTCTCAAGAGCGCTAAAAGGTTACCTCAGGGGGTTATCAGGTATCCCGACCACTATCTAAGTAACCACTTACAAAAGGTTGGGTCGGGGGTTTCAGGTACCCGCCCAGGTGTTAGAAATTATTTTTAAATATTATTAATTATCATTAGGCTAAGTTCAATACATAGCACTATATAAATATATATATTATTTACTAATCTGTTATTATATTAGTCATATTTAATGCCGTATACGTTGTAAATGTTATGTTTGAACGCAGTACTAGACTCAAGATCTAACATTGTTAATAATACCATTATATTTATATGTACAGGATTTTCCTTAAACAAACAAACTAAACTATTCTATTCTAATTCTTTCAAAGTAAACTAGATAAAATATTCATATAAAAATATTAAGTTTATCATTGTTAAAACCTTAAAATAATATTTTTAATACATTTATCATCAAAAGTGACAGTTTTTCTTACGCATATCTTTATTATAGGAATTCATCTCTATTCACAAGTCCCAACTAAATGTTCTTAATCCTAATACTTACGTTTTCATGTGAATAAATCAAGTAATTTGCTGTTATTTTTTTTTTAATCTTTAGAAATGTTTATTAAAAACAGTGATCTAATAAATTTAATTGGTATTAATGTCATCTATGTCCTGTTGCTAGAGGGGTTTCATTTGCTGGATTATGAGTATTCATATTGTATAATTATTTACGAAATAGTAATGTATACCGTACTGATTCTCATCTAAGTTAATTACGCGTTTCTATAGAATATTAAACTGAGAAAAGCTTTGCTGAAGTTGAAGTTAATGGAAGGTTTCTCAATGGCATATAGAACCCTTGAAAGCATGGTGGCAGCTGGAATGAATGTTGCCGATTTGTTTCGTTGACTAATATTTTTATTCGCTATCTTCCGACGACACATATAGCTGTCGTTTCACAATTATTTTCTTGAATGGTGCGACAAAATAGTACATAATTTTATATATATTTTTCTATCATTATTTATGAAATGTACATACAACTGTACAAAAATAAATATACATCCAGAATGTGTGATATAGAGAAATAAAATGGTATGAAAAGACTTGTAGAGAATCTACCCATTGGCAGCACACTAATAAAGTATCTCAATTAGGAGATCACTAGGCCATCTTCTTTTCGGACACTTTGGTGCGTTATCAGGGATTGAAGTGAAAGCCAGGTTAGAAAGGAGAGAATTATGGTGGTTCTGACGTTTATTATGAAAGGATATGTATCTGAAAAATTGAAAACATATGGAACATTAAGGTAGTCAAGGATGATTTTATTGATGACAAAGTAAGGAGCGTTGAAGATTTTACGAAGGATTGTAAAGATTGAATATGAGAGGAATTCAATGATTTAGTGGAGTCCCAAAGTCAACTCTGTGTGTCCAAATAGGCTTTATAGTCATGTATATGAGTGATTAATTGGAAGCTTAGAGCTTTTGTCGAGTAAGTGCTGAAGTATTCGTAACGTCGAGCAGTTTCTTATCGTATTAGTCTGGTATGAGGATTCGAAGTTAGACGTTTGCCCAGGTGGAGTCCTAGGTATCGGATTTGTTCAACAGAGATAAGTAGGGTATTATTAAAGGATACTGTAGGATAGGAAGTCATATGTTTACGACGAAGGGTAAAGGTGACTTTATATTTATATATTAATTTACACTATAAATATAATACTTTTTTATATATTAAAAATAAATGGATAAATTATAGGTAATATATGATAATAATATGACGTAACTATTTTTAAATAAATAATTTAATGAAAATTACATTTTTTCTCGTAGCCATTTTTGTATTGACGATTTGACATATCTTTTTATTCATCGTTGAAATGAAATATTTTAATTCTCTAGCAATGGCGATTCGTTGGTTCTCTGTGCAATCGTTGCTCATCTCCATAACAAAATAGAAAAATCAGATTTTCCGAACGGAATTAACTTCCCACATTAAGTTGTTTCAAAAGAAATTCTCCTTTGAAGGTTGTAAAATGGTAATATTCTCCTCAATGAAATATAGTTACCCTTGAGATGAGGCAGGGAGAATCGAGTTATAATGGAGTTTTTTTTCTTTGTATTAAAAAAGTTTGGAAGGATGAAATCTTTTCTGAGATAATGAACTAAATCCAGTTTATATTCAATTTCTAAAAACTTCTCTGGTGAACAGTTGAAACGAACTTAATTTGGTGTCAAATAAATATCTTTTTCATTTATTTCTTTAATAAGTCTTCGTGTTAAAAGAGAAAATATTATTTTAAATATTCACATTGCTAAAGTAAACTTCACAAATTCATATTTTTGCAAATGACAACCCATCATTTTTATGATAAATTGTTTAGAAATAACATTAACTGAATAAAATAATATATTAGCGTCGCTTCTTAAGTATTTTGTTATTAAAACACAAGATGCTTTTAGTATTTTTTTATATGTATATTTTTTTTTCTGAAAATAGCCTTAATCCTTTGTAACTTAAACAGACAGCATTTGAATAGCACAAAATACATAGTCCTTTAAATACTTTATTTTAGTACAATAATTACAATACTTTTTGTCTAGGTATGATTTGAAATGATTTGTCACGAAGAAGCTTTGCAACTATTAGTCAATTTACTTAGACTCTTTGAATGTACTTATAAGCCTGAGTGTGTTTCGAATGGACTGAAGTATTACCTTGAAGGGGATCTAATGGTGAAGAATGAGAGATAGCGGTTAAACTGTTACTACTATAGAAGCTGTGGACAAGATTGATGCAAGAAGCTGGAGCAATCAGTCCAAAGGGGAGCTGCCGCTGACGTTCGCCCTTGTCCCCCGATATTGCCCCATGGGGGGAACACGCCCACTCCATATATCGCCTCCAAACCACACTTGTCTCTCTGTATTTTCCCTAATTCCTTCTAGGTGGAGAGGAAAGGAAGGAAAAGGAAAATTTATTGTTGGGATGTTTTTATAGACTATAGAACTCTTCTGATTTATGATATAAATGAAAAAATCCAAACCATAATACCTTGTGTATCTAATCTACAGGTGAACAATTAATCTGCCAACTTTCAGGCTCATCAGGAGAAAAAGAAGTATTGAATAATAATTGATTAAAAGTGATGGAAAAAATACAGGCATTAAAAAACTCAAAAATATAACATGAAAATATTTTAAATAGATAAAAAAAATATCTGGTGTGCCCACTCACACGACGTTCCTACCTATTTCAGAAAAGTTTGTATATCTTCACATATGTTCCTGAAGAAA